GTTAAAAGTTGAAAGAATCCCTCTTTTTGCTCTCTAGAACACCCAGACCACCATCAAGTTGTTCCAGGAGTGCTGTCCACATTCCACCGACCGAGTGGTTTTGGTGGGAGGGAAACCAGAGCGCGTCGTCGAGTGTATAAAAGTAATTTTGGAGCTGGTGTCGGAGGTGAGAACGGCTAGAATTCATCCCTTCACAACGACCCGACGGTCAGCCCGGCCAATCGTTGAGTTTTTCTTCCCGGCGTCCTGCAGGCTCCCATCAAAGGCCGCGCCCAGCCGTACGACCCCAACTTCTACGACGAGACCTACGACTACGGCGGCTTCACCATGCTGTTCGAGGACCGGGGCCGACGGCCCATGGGGGGGTTCCCCATCCGGGTGGGGGGCAACTTTGAGCGCATGCCCCCGGTGCGAGGCAGCAGACCCATGCCTCCCGCCAGGGGGGAGTACGAGGACCTGAGCCCTCGCCGGGGGCCCCCGCCCCCACTCAGCAGAGGGCTGAGAGGGGGGAGTCGAGCTCGCAACCTCCCCCTCCCTCCACCACCGCTGCCAAGGGGGTAAGAGCTGGCCCAGGGGATCAGGGAGGCCCTCGCATGTCACCGGTTTGGTAGGGTTGTCAAAAGTATCGATACTCCAAAAACTATAGATAGTAAAACGTTGTATCCCAATACGATACTCAGGTTCAAAAGTATCGATAGCTCCCCCCGCACCCTTTCTCTTGGATTTATTTATTTAATTATTTACGTTGTCTATGATGATAATGGATGGATGGATGGATGGATGGAGAATCATTAACATGACGTTAGCTTTGAATTGCTAGCTATGGCTAATAATAACACGCCAACATTATAACGATAACATCAGTAGCAGGTCAGTTTGAAACTCAGTCGAAATTCAGTTTTGGGGTCTTTGTTTTTATCCTTGTGGTATCAAAAATGGTATCGTTTATCGAATATTTTCCTGAGTATCGGTATCGAGTTGAATATTTTAGTATCGTGACAACCCTACTGTTTGGTCCATTTTAGCTTCACTTTGGTCATTTTAAGCTTTTGCTTTGGTTTGTTCTGGTAGCAGAAACCAAATCGTGAGTCAGTGAGAACAAACTGGAGCGAAAACCCAACCGTTCTGTTCCCTGAACAGCCACATGCTGGTCCATTGTGGCCTTTAGTTAGGCAGGGCATCCAACAGAGGGCAGTGCAGAGTTCTGATGGCCGCGTGCCCCGAGAAGAAAACCTGTTTGTGGTTCTGCACACTTTACCCAGCCTCTCTTCAGGAAGTAAAGTCGTTCGTTTTTTTGTTTTTGTTTTTTAGCTCGTTCTCTACACTATGATGATTTTTGTTTGCTGCGTTTGGGTACATGTCCACTCCGATAATCAATGAAGCAGAAGGCCCTGACTGTACGAATATACACATTTAATCCTGAGCATTAACGAGCCCTTAGTAAGAAGACACAAACCAGATCACAGGCCTGAAAGCTGCCAGAAGTGCCCGGTTGTTCAGATGAATTTGAGCATTTTAACTTCTCCATCTTCCTCTTCCTCTCCTTGATTTTAGCGGAGACAGATTCTCTCACGGCAGTTATCACGGCAGCATGGACGACAGACCAGGGTGAGCTTGTTTTAAACCACCAGCCTTCCACCGTAAGCCCAGTATTCCCGGAGAGAGACGACGCTAATGCTTTTCTGTTTGTTTGCAGAGACAGAAGAGGCAGAGGAGACCGCTACGACAGCCTGGTGAGTGTCATCCTCGGCCCCGTTTGTTAAGGAGTCGTCCTTCAAACCGGAGCGTAGCTTTTCCCTTTTTTCTGAGGGTAGCGCGAGTGCAGAGCCGTGCACTTTTGCTGCTGTTTCCTCTGCGAGTGCACACTCATGTAGGCCTGTTGTTGCCTGGCAACAGCCGTCACCGTGGTTACCGCGGAGCAGATACACCAGGCTGACAAATGAACTCGAGCTCAGACCAAAGCGATTCCTGAAGCGGCTCCCTGCAGGTTTTCACTCCAATCAAGTTGTTTTTGTTAAAGGGATGAAAACTACTTTTTTAGATTTTTGTGAAAAACAAAAAAAAAGATATTCTGATTGATGTTAAGAGAGACTTCAAATTTAAACACAAAGCCTCTGAAGTGACCACATAAATCATGTATGTTTCAAACCGAGACGTCTCTTTAATAAAATGCAGTTTAGAGTTAGTTTAAAACTCTCCTAAAGGCTTCATTGTGTTTCTTGACTTGCTCTAAACTGGGGATTAACTCTGGTCCTGTTTGGGCGGCAGGTTTAGATGTTTTCTTTTCTTCCTCACAACTGATTGGATTCCTGAGCCGCTTTCTCTTTCTCATGTATTGAAAATGAAATTGGCAATTATCCGATGACATGCAATTATTCCATTTTTGCCTGACGTTTCACACGATGCATTCAGGTGTTTGGCAGAGAGTTATCAAGCAACAACTGAAGAATGAAAGTCAGACATTTTTACACAGCAGGTGGAGGAAGTTTAAAACGGTTTTAACTGGAAGTGGAGGCCCTGAAGCTCTCCTTGTGAGTGGATCACAAACTCGAGGAGTCGGGTTGTGATGCTGGCAGGTGCTTAACATGAACAACTGTGAGCCAGTCTGTCCTCACATGAGCTCTTTTAGCTCTGAGAGCTTTAAAGCTGTCCGAGCTGTTAATGAGTCAGTTTTCCCATTTCTCTACTGTACTCCTCTAAAAGAGAGTGGATGGATATCAAACTGACGACGATCTTTGTACAGATCGTACAGGAGGTTGTTTATACATACGTTTCTGTGTAATGCAACGATGGCAAAAAAGTTAATGGGTTTGTTATTAAAACAATCTTATCTTCTCTTCCTTTTTTCTGCTCAATCGATCCTGAAATGCAGAGTGGAGGCGGCTATGGTGAGTACCGACATTCATGTAAATCCTGGGCAGACTATCTCCTCTCTTATTGAAGTTGTATGAAAGTGCTAATGGGGTGCTGCTCTCTCCTCATATTGCATACTGCCAATAAAAACAGAAGTCATGGAGGCTACCGCTCTCCAAAAAAAAGCTTAGTCTGCTGAGCCTGATCAGACTTCCCAACGACTCTGCCTCAGCTCTGCTGCAATTTGAAATTCAAAGGAAGCTTTTCACAGGACACAAAAGGGCCGTACGCCCCAGAGTGCCACCCTCAACTTGTTTACCGGGAATGAGAAAAGCATGAGGAATACTTGTCTTTTCATTTGTCTGTCCGGGCCAGAAGAAGATAATTCAGACATTTAACATGTCAGCTTGGATTTTTGAGTCTCCTGATCGGAGACATTAAGATTAGGAGGCTGTAAGAGGGGTTTTCTTAGCTCGACGTTGTTGTGAGGAGTAGTTTAGTCTGTAACGGTCACATCAGGGGCTGAGAAGGACTGTGGAGAGGCAGCAGCCTTCCTGAGGATGCCTTTAAACCCAAATAAATTAGCAACACCTCAGAGACTTTACCACCTGACCTGAACCCCGGGCAGGCCTGGGGCCAGTTTGGGTAATGATAGGTTCATTTTCCCTAAGAGTATCAGCACTAACCCACTGCTGACCCTGCACTTTTTTTCCTCTTCTTTCTGTGTCATCACATTATTATTTCAACACGTTTTTCTGTTCAAATCCAGATGTTTGATTTAGAATAACCAACCAAAGTCGGGAAACAAAGTCTGGCCCGAGTATCTGCCGATATTCCGATCACTGAGCCAAAGTTAGAGGCCTGGGCCTCATCAGTCCTCAAAGGTTCGACGTCAGCTGAAGCTCGCTTAGAATTTGGGACCGGATAGACAGAAACAAAAGGGGGGGAGGGGGGGGAAGGCTGAGCTGTCGCCCGAACATGAAAGTCCTGTTTTTAATTTGTCTCTCTGGAACATCGGGTTTGTTTTTTTACATGGAAACCTTAAAACTCGTTATTCGGATTGGTTACATTTCTTTACTCACGAGCCAATCGGCTGTTAGAATCTGTTCTCATGTGAAATACAGAGAATAGAGAAAAGGTTCTGGTTGCATCTGATGGAAATTTGGACGTCTGCTTTTCCCATAATTGCTGACATGCACCATTTCACTGTGATAACGACTGAAAGTGATTCAGGAAATGAGGGATCGGATGAATACATTAACCTTAATCTAACTGAGATGCCTTATTGTCTTGTTGCCTGATTAAACTTTGGGTCTAACGAGTCTGACATCAGCAGCAAACTTCCAGAGTCTGATCCTCAGGCCTTCTCACACTTATCACATTTATCTCATTTTGCTTCCCTGTGGTTTATTTTCATTTTTCATTTACTTGTTTTCCTTTTTTTTTTTTCAATGTTTTCAAAGACAACAATTCCTCCTGGGAGCGCTTCCCGTCGGGTGAGTGGGATGGACGCCCCATGGTCCCGGAGTCTTGTGTCTGACCTGAAGGGATTGTCTCTCTTCTCCTTGTTTCTGGCTGGGCTCAGAGACAGATTCCCCTCAACTGTTGTTTACTTGCTGTGTAGGTGGCCGAGGCTCGTACAGCGATATCGGAGGCCCCGTCATCACCACGCAGGTCACCATCCCCAAAGACGTAAGCAGATCACTCGTTAGCCGCCAAACGGCGAAACCCCCCGGTGCTAAACGTTATTGGCGCTCCGCAGCTGGCCGGCTCCATCATCGGGAAGGGCGGCCAGAGGATCAAGCAGATCCGCCACGAGTCCGGGGCCTCCATCAAGATCGACGAGCCACTAGAGGGCTCTGAGGACCGCATCATCACCATCACAGGGACCCAGGACCAGATCCAGAACGCCCAGTACCTGCTGCAGAACAGGCAGGTGTCCCCCAGACCGCCATTTTTGTGTTTATGTTTCTGCATTTGGCAGACGCTTTTATCCAAAGCGACTTACAGAGTAGACACAATATTACATTTATTATCACTATGACAATAAGCTATACAGAGGAGAAACACTGATCAGAGTCAGAGATAGAGATAGAGGTAGAGGGACTACAGAAGGAGTTGTGGGGGGGTAGAGGTTTGGGTTAGGGTTTAAGATAGGAGATGCTCTTTGAAGAGGGGGGTCTTCAAGAGTTTCTTGAAGACAGACAGGGACTCTGCTGTTCTTTTAGCGCTTGGTAGGTGGTTCCACCATCTTGGAACGACACATTAAACAGTCTGGATGGTCTTAAGCTGGTGAAGGCTCTGCTAGACCACAGTCCACTGATGACCGGAGTGATCGGGTTGTGACATAAGCCTTTGCAAGAGGATTCAAGTAGATGGGAGCCGTACCCTCTACCTCTATCTTTATCTCACCACTGACTCTGATCAGTGTTTCTCCTCTGTATAGCTTATTGTCATAGTGATAATAAATGTAATATTGTGTCTACTCTGTAAGTCGCTTTGGATAAAAGCGTCTGCCAAATGCAAAAACATAAACTAAGCCGGACAGAGAGCAGAACACAGTTGGAGCTAATTTAACCCTTTAATGCCAAATGTATCATATTTGATACATACGGTTTCTAAAATGTTTTGCGTCTGACACCTTTTGCATAATTTAATGGTAAAATCTTTGCTCAAAATCCTATTGTACACAATCAGATAGACCTGATCACAGTGGGCAAAAGACCAGAAAAAATAAACCTGACTTATCGCATAGTAATAAAGTATTAATATTAAAAATGTATTTCTGTTTTTTCTTCTTACATATTTTATTACAAGGCCAAATAAGGAAAAATAAATAAATTCTGTTTTGTTTTATTCTTGGATCAGGCTTAAAAGGGTTAAACGTCCTCAAAGTTTCTGATCTTACATTTGAGGAAGTGAAAAATCTTCCCGTTTAAAAAGCCACCAGAGACTGTAAACGGCTAATTAAAGAGGAAGCTCCATCCCCAAGTGTTCCCTGAAAGCTGGACTCTGACCCGGGAACTCCTGCCCTCCCTCTGTGCTTTAACACCTCTCCATCTCTCTCTCTTTTCAGCGTGAGGCAGTACTCGGGTCGCTTCTTCTAGGACGGACGAGAGGAAGAGTGAAGCCATGCTGCCGCACCGTTTGCCCTTTGTATTCAGAGCCCACATTCCTCTGCTTTGGGTAGATTCTCCCCTCTCTCCACCGTCTCTCACCACCTCCTACGTAAGCAGCAGCTCTTCTCCGTGGTCTGAAAAATCTGCATTTCGAATTTTAATTTTTTCTTTTTTACGGACGACTTTTGTGCTGTGGGAGGAGTCGAACCCATCTTTGTGGTCCCCGTTGATGTTGTGAGCTGGCCCCCCTTCTCCTCATTTCACTACAGCATGCAGAATGTAACTGCTTTGTCCAGAAGATGATGTAGAGACTCTTTTCTTTTTCCTTCCTCCTACTAGATTTGTAAAGCACATTCTCCTAATGAAGATGCATGGTTTTGAACGGTTAAACTTTGACTTTTTTTTTCTCTTCTTTTTTCTATAATGGGCTTAAATGGAGGCGTCGGGTCGACTTTTTATTTTATAACTTGGAAACTCCAACTTGAGCTCACTTGGCCAGGCTCAGAGTGAATAAAATGTTTATATTTGATATTTTCCGAACTGACTGTTACCATGGAAAAGTTGCCTTTTGTTGCAGGTGTGGGTAAAAGTCTGAGAGTTGGCAGTCTTTTACCTCCGTAACTCGCATTAGATTCGTAGTGAAAGTAGAACCAGAGACCAATCAGACAGCTTTATGAAGTTTGAATATGAAGCTTCAGACGGCAGCTTAGTTTAGGGGGGGGGTGAAACAAAACTGTAACGGTGCTTTAAAGGCGCACAAGTTAGCATCTTGTTTGGTTTGTTTTGCTCCAAATAAAGAAAAAAGAAGTAACTGACTTTTCGGGGTTATTGGGAAAAGGAGGAAAGAAATGCCAGACAAGAGGGGAAATGTCTGATTTTTTTTGTTTTCCATGAATAAAAAAAAAGATGTATAAAGTGTGTATATATTTACATAAAAGTTGTTTGTGTGGTTGGACTGTCCCAGACTGTTTGATACTTCCGAAACACATTTGTCAATCTCTGCTTTTTTGGGTACGGTGGCCCTGAGGAGCCAAAAAAAAGCTCAAATTTAGAAAAATTTTAAAAAATGCTGCATTTTACAAAAAAAAACAATGTAAATTATATCGATTTTAATCAGAGAGAAAATAGTCATGTTAAAAAAAACACTTTTTTTGGAAGAAGTCCCTATTTTTCTCTAAATATCTTATACTTGGTCTATTTTTTAGTGGCTTTGGCATGTTTTTGGTTGTTGATTGGCTCCTCAGGGCCTCCTGCTCCAGCCAACAGATGGACTTTTCTTTATTTCAGCGTCTGCTGGACCCATTTATTCTCTTTAAAATCCGACATTGAATTAAATTTTTTTTTAATGATCTCTCCACGTGCGTGTTGACACGAGGAGTGTGCAGCTTTGTGAGTCCATGGGTGGTGATGTGTGTACTGTCTGCTCTCTGTAGCTGCTGCAGGTGTTTGGTAAATAAAGTCTGTCACAGCTCACAAAGTCTCCTCTCTGCACACTCTGAGGGATCCAGGGGTCCACCAGGGTCCAGGGGCAGGATCCCGGAGTCCGGGGCCTCCTGGATCCAGGGGCTTCCAGGTCCAGGGGCAGGATCCCAGGTCCAGGTCCAAGTCCAGTTCCCCCCCGGTCCAGGGGCAGGAGCCCAATTCCCGCTCAAGGGGCAGGAGCCCGGGGTCCAGGTCCAGGTTCCTCTGGGTCCAGGGTCAGGAGCCCGGGTCCAGGTCCAGCTCCCGGGTCCGGGTCCGGGGGCAGGAGCCCGGGTCCAGGGGCAGGACCTGCCAGGATCCCTCCCCTGGACCCGGGAGAAATCGGACCCGGTCCGGGCTCCTGCCCCAGGACCCCGCGATCTGGACCCCGGACCCGGGTTCCTGCTCCTAGACCCAGGAGGACCCAGACCCAGGTGGCTCTGGACCCGGGATCCTGCTCCTGGACCCGGGTTCTCGCCCCTAGACCTGGGAGGACCTGGGCTCCTGACCCATGACCCAGGTGGCTCCGGACCCGGGATCCTGCCCCTGGACCCGGGTTCTAGCCCCTGGACCCGGGAGGCTCAGGCCCCGGACCCGGACCCGGGCTCCTGACCCTGGACCTGGAAGCCCCTGGGTCCAGGAGGCCTCGGGTCCAGGGGCAGGATCCTGGCAGGTCCTGCCCCTGGACCTGGTCTCCTACCGCCGGACCCCGGGATCCAGCCTCCGGACCAGGGATCCTGACCCTGGACCCCGCTATCTGGACCCCGGGTTCTAGCCCCCGGACCCCGGGATCCAGCCTCCGGACCAGGGATCCTGACCCTGGACCCCGGGTTCTAGCCCCTGGACCCCGGGATCCTGACCCTGGACCCGGGGGGCTCCTACCACCGGACCCCCAGGAGGATCCTTCCCCCGGTCCCGGTGCGCTCCTGTCCCGCGCGCACATCCGCGCGCTCGTGTGCAGCGGCGGCGGCAACGAGCACCGGAAGCATCCGGTCTCCGTAATGCAATCAGGAATGCCCGCACGGTTTCCCATCACGGCGCAGCCCTCTCGGTCACATGGGGCGCGCCTGGGTCGCCTCCACAGACGGGACGGGCGGAGGAGGATCCGGATCGCGTCAGTTTCTACACCGCGCCAGGACACGGAGCCCCTCTTCCTTCCCACCCCGGATACTTTTTCCTCCTCCTTCTCTTTTTTAGGTGCTTTTTTAAACGTCTGGAAAAGCCTAGAAAGACGGGGGGGAAAAGAAAGTCGGCCATATTCAGCCCACCACGCCCGGAGCGCCACTAACCAGGGTTAGTAGAGACAAGACTCACTACACAAAAAGTTGTTGCACAAAGTTGGTTTCCTCTTTGGGGGACCGGGGCTTAAAGAGTGGAGCGTTTCCCCCCCCTCCAGGACCGGACTTCCTTAAACCTTTCCCCGGGTTTTGCGCGCAGAGGTTCGGTTTCAACCGGGATCCGGATGCTCCGGAGGCTCCGGTCCGACCGCCTTTTGTCTGTGTCTGTGCCCCGGCAGGAGACGCCTCTGTCCCGGGAGGAATGACTCTGAGCTCCGCGGGGGCTTGCTGCCTCAGTCCGGAGGCCAAAGAGGCGCGCAGGATCAACGATGAGATCGAGAGGCAGCTCCGGAGGGACAAGAAGGACTCCCGACAGGAGCACAAGCTCCTGCTGCTGGGTGAGGGACCCCCCCCCCCCCACACACACACACACACACACACACACACACACAGAAACCTACTTTAGTTGCCAAAGTGACAACAAGATCATGCTTAAATCGTGGCAGATGGAAAGTGGCACTTCCGGTGGCAGCCAGGGAGCTGAGGGCCAAAAGTTTGGGACGTAAAGATGGCAGGAAAAAAGTCAAATCCAGCTTTTTTGGGTGGTTTTTTAAGTACCAGCAGGCTTTAAAACGCCCTCAGAGGAAGCTTTATCTGTTTTTACTGACCACCGAGATGAGCCGTAAACATCAGGGAACCAGATGTTTACAATCTGATTCTGATTCTAAATCCATTCCCCTTAAAGGTTATGGATTTTTCATGTTTTTTTTGCTCAGGTGCTTTGAATTTAACTGTAAATAGTCGTCTGTTTGTGCTCCCTTAAGCTTGGGTGGATTATTTATCTAAGATCTAATCAGCTCTGGGGCTCATTTAGAGCATGTCAGCTCTTTTTTTTTCCTTTTTTTTTTCTCGATGATACAGGCGGTATAACGTGAGATATCGGGCTGTAGAAAACAAACTCGAGGCGTGTCTGGCTCCAGATTGTAGGTACGCCCCGGATTTGGGCAATAAAGATGAGTCCCAGGATTGCATCAGGCTGAGTGATGGCAAAGGCTTTTGCTTTCACATTCTCTGACACAAACAACTCAGAGGCATCTTAATTTTTTTTTTAAAAAACATGCCGTGATTGATTCCATGAACAAAACAGGAACACAGATATTCTCTGGATCCAGATCTGGTCCGGTCAGGGGTTTAGATCCAGAGGAGTCTGACCCACGAGGGCTTTAAAGATTATTTAAAGATGGACTGAAATCCGAAGCTCTTTTGGAATGCTATTTTCCGTAGCGGACCAGAAGGGTCCAAGGCCGGAGGGGCCCCCTGGTCAAGTCTAATTGGCCCCCCGAGGTGCACCTGTCCAGTCACCGGAGGCCTGGCCTTTAACCCTATAATGCCAAATGTATCATATTTGATTCATACGGTTTCTGAAGTCTTTTGGATCTGAGACTTTTTGCATCATTCAGTGGTAAAAGCTTTGCTCAAACCCCTGTTGTACACATTCAGATATACCTGATAACAGCCAGTAGAAGACTACACCAAGATATATTTTTGACTTATTGCGCGCTAATTTGATCTAGCTAATTTTTTTGTCTTAATATGTTGTTGAGCGGCCAAAGAAAGACTTCAGACTAAAAAAATCCAATATTCTTCCTATTTTTCTTGGATCAGGCTTTAAAGGGTTAACGGACGAATGGGAGGGGGACGGGGGGGGTAGATTTAAACCCAACCGGCCTTTCTTAGGATGGGAGAAATTTGGAGTTAGCTGGCCGAGTTTGAATGGAAAAATACTGGATTAAAACCATCCCTTCTGTGGTCAGCAGAAAGCCGCTGACTCATGATATGCTGATGCACCTATGGGAAACATCAGTGTTTCTTAAGATCCACGATTTGAGGAAAACTTTCCACTTTCCAGCCGCCTGCAGATGCGGGCCGTATCCAACATGGCCACCTTTCGGTTTGGGGTTCGTTCACGACCTCTCGAGGTGTTTTTGAGCTCTAAACTCTGCAAACCCGGCGGGTTCCCACCCGTTAACTGGACCAAAATGAGTCTGAAAGCAGCTTTTCCCTCCTCTGACATCTGAGAGACCTCACTGTTGTGAAGTCTCAGACTCTGTCTGCACCCATATGTCCAAATATGTGACTTTCGAATAGTAAAAAATACATATTTCAAGAGTTGAGCTTTGAGAAGAGCAGCCTATAAAACCCTCTGTGTGAAGTCTTCATGTCACGTTGGGTCATGATCACTCTTTATGA